CTGAGCAGCAGTCAGAGCTGGCTTTTGAGCAGACGGTTTATACGTCTGGGCCGGATGGGTGATGGACAATGGATGAAGGGATGAATTAGGGCAGGGTTGTGAGGAGGTCAGCCTTGGCAATAGTCCACCCGGAACCCACATCTCCTCCTCATGCTGACACTTCTGATTTTTCTGTGGGGATGCCTTGTCTTCCAACCACTTTGGACGAAGCTGATAATGTTTCCTTAGATTCTTTGCAGTTCATGACTTTCATTGTGCTATCCAAGCATTTAACGTGGCATCCTTTTCTCTGACAGCTTCGTACACATATACTCTGTCGCGGCTATATCCATACACACATACCCGCTGTCCTCTCTCGCCCCTCTCCCGCTCCCACTATGTCCCCACTAGCCCTCCACCCTCCTGTTTTCATAACTACCCTCTTGTGACGTCCCCGAGAGTGTAATTAGGGTTGGTTTCGTTAGCATGGGCGTGGGGTTGTTTCCTGGGGCATGAGAAATTCAGCGGTGGCTACACCACTGAAGAAAATGCCATTCCCCTCCCCTGGCAAACATTAACCACGCATAGCTCCTAAGGGACAGGTGGGGTCTCCTGATCCCCTCCCCCTGTAATTATGGGATCTTGATGGACCTACTCTTGTGCAGGTACCCACAGCGGCTGTGTGTTCTTGAGTGGGACGGCCATGTCATATCCAGAAGACTACATTTCCCAGCATCCCTCCTCATCCTCCAGTCCTTACACTCTTTCCACCCCCCTCTTCTACAGTGGTCCCTGGGCCTTGGATGGGGTGATGTAGGGAGAGCTTGATCTGAACCTCGCCCGGCTTCCAGGCTTGCTGGGGGCAATAGTGATTGATTGGAGGCTGGGCGCGTGACTCAGTCCTGACCGGTGAGAACTGGTCCGGAGACCCGCTCTGACCCCACAGGGTTGTTTAAACTGCTGGGACAGAGCCCTGGAGGGGCACACTGTGGCAAATGAGAGTGCCAGAGGCGAGATGGGGCGAGACGGGCAGCCATCAGCAAGTCTGAAGTACCTGGAGGCTCCCTTGGGCTTCTGCTCAGCAACTGGAGGACTGGACCGTCTTTCCTTTTAGCAGCAGCGACACACACACACACACACAATGCACATACAGAGACACACACACGTGTACACGCACACATATATACACACCTACGTCTACACACCCACAGATATGGACACGTACGTTTACACACCCACATACATATACACACACACCTACACACCGTGCATGTACGTGTACACACTGCACGCACACACATTCACAGAGACAGACCCGCTGTACGCATCCATGTATACATACACCACGCAAACAGAGATTACACACATTTACACATACACATATACATACATACTAGACACATACACATACACGGACACATACACGTACGCTTACACATACACGGACACATACACGTACACATACACGTATACTTACACGTACACATACACGTATACTTACATGTACACGTACACATATACTTACACATACACATACATGTACACATACACGTACACATACACGTACACTTACACGTACACATACACGTACACATACACGTACACGTATACCTACACATACATGTACACATACATGTACACATACACGTATACCTACACATACACGTACACATACACGTATACTTACACATATACACTATACACATACCCACATACACCTATGTACACATATGTATACACATTCCCAAATACATACATACCCACATATTACATATACATACACGAATACACATACTACACATACACACATACATACACATACACATACACATACACATACACAGACTGCACATACACACATACGTACACATACGCATACACAGACTACATTTACACACAAACATCGATATACACGCTGGGCACATTCGTCAACCCGTACTCATACACACTACACACATATACACACGTGACCACTGTGCACACATACACGTTCATGACACACATCTACATGCCTCTATATGTATGCACCACGTATACCTATCCGCCATACACGCACAGCATACAGATACACTACACAGACGCACCCGCGTACGTCTACACCGCCTACACACACACGGACACGTACACAGAAACAATGCTTTGAAACTCGCAAAGGAAGCTATAAGAACTGTACAGAGGTCGCCCAATGCTTGGAATTTGCTGACATTTCTCCTGTCGCCCCGCCATCTGCCTCCTGGTCTTCGGAGCTACTGATCCTAGAGTTAGCCGCGCTGTAGCACTTTTAGCTTCTAAGGACTTCAGTCTGTGTTTCCTAAGAATGACCGTTGCTTTCGGAGCTACTGATCCTAGAGTTAGCCGCGCTGTAGCACTTTTAGCTTCTAAGGACTTCAGTCTGTGTTTCCTAAGAATAACCGTTGCTTTCAGTGTCGGAGACTGAGCCGGACCGTCAGTTACTCTTCCCATCTCACAGATGTGGAAAGAGAGGCCTGGGAAGTCACTCACCCGAGGACCTCCCCCCCCCAACCCCAGCTCTCTGATGGTCAGGGGAGTTCAAACCCAAGACCCTGGCCCTGATTCCACAGGCCCTGCTCCTGTAACTGTAGAGTGCTCACTCTTTAACACAATGCTAACCTTGTCTCCCTCCTGTGTTCTTTCCTCTTGAAGCTCTATCCCTTCGGTGCTCACCCTCTGAGTGACCTCCGCTCTGCTCGGCTCCGCTCTGCTCTGCCTCCTTCTCCTCCTCCTCGTCGTCACTGGACCCCCAGCTGTCATCTACTCTTTCAAGCTTGTGGAGAGGTCTCCTGGGCATGGCCTTCTAGC